CAGTCATTACTGATAAAACTTTTTTTTTTGGTTTTAAGGGGAAAAAAGTCTGTTACAAAATCTGGGTAAAACAGGACAAAGACTCGCTCCCTGAGTCATGTTAAAAATACTTCTGTAACAATTGGCTTTGACATTTTGAACTAAGCAATCCATGTCTCTTTGTTCTATTATGAAATTCTAGTTACATCTAACTCCTAAACCCTTCATGAGAAGATGTTTCTGCTGCTGAATGTGAAACACAAATGAATTTTATTTGATTTCATTTGTCATTGTGTGTTTGTGGGTGTACAGAATGACACATTTTAGATGGAAGCAACCAAAAATAGGAAATCAAAATGAAGAATGTATTTGCCAAATTTAAAAAAGAAAGTATTTTAATAAAGTAACTATTATCAGAATAATTTAAATAGCAAACTGTAAAAATGTGGAAAGTCCCAGCACTCCTACACAAAGTTCATTAACAGGAATGAGTTTTTATTTTTGCTCTTTACAACAGTTTTGCTGTTCCTAACAACTCATCTGCTACACGTTTGTTTTTGACAATTCTTTTCTTTTTTAAATCACTTTGTGCACATACCTATTTGTAAGGGTTTTTTTGTAAAGGAGACAATTTTGGCAGGAAAGCATCTTTTTTGTTGCCTAGTTAAATTGCAGTGGGATCACAACAACAAGTACTGAAGATGTTTTCAAGTGTTTTACAAAAAGCTTTACAAGTCACTGTAGGATGGTAGACAAGTGTAAAAACGTAGAATCAACATTCAACATGTACATTATACAAGAACAAAACAGAAAAACAGGAACATTCATTACATAAAACAAATTTCATCAGGAGCATAAACTGTTCTCAGATCACTTTTTTTTCTAACCATGGAAGTCCTGAAGCATGTAAGGTAGTTTTTCCGCAAATCATTCCCATTTATATGAGATACCAAAGAAAAACCCATCTTGTTAATTCTTAAAAGTTATGGAAGATTGAGTGGTATTTTATGTAGGTTAAGTGTGTCAGTATTAACTTCAAACGTTGCTCATATGGTGGAAATACGTTTCCGAAGCTATACATTATTCCGTCAATAAAAGCTTTAAATTAATTTTGATTGAATCAAATTGTACAACAACAATCCAGATATCACGAGTATAGTTCTGCCTCCAAACAATTTGGGCCAATCAGCGTTTACTTTGTTGGTTCGCTGCCGTCCAATCAGCGCGATCAGAGGCGGTCACGAGGACAGTTCAGCCAATAGAAATGGAACAGAAACGAACCATCTTGTCAGTGTGTGGAAGGAGCTAAGCTAGCCATGAGCTAATTGACCGATGCTATACCTCAGTAACATTTTACATTTAAAGTCTATATTCAGCGTCTAAGGGGTCATTTAAAAGGTACGTATACGTAGCCACACTGTCTTTTCATTTATTTGTGTTACTAGTTAGCTTAAAGTTTGGGACAAGCGTTTAGCCGGGGTTAGCAGCGGCATAGCTCTTAGCTAGCTTATAGCTAGCTTTCGCTATAAAATGTAGCGGTTCTGGTCATATCCGCGTCTGGTTGTAAAGTGAACGTCTAACATATTCAGGAACACAAATAGCTGCTTTCAGTAGCAGATGATAGTATTTGGTCAGTAATATTATCGTGCAGATAGTCGCTAACATAACTAGTACGACTTGCCTCTTCCGTTCGACGTACAGACAACTGCCAGGGTAACTTTGCCTTGACATAGTTTGTGAATGGGGAAGATCCTGTGTTTACTGAGCAATGGAAGAGTAAAGTAGTGTTTTGAAATAGGGGAATCTCATATTTAAACATATTGAACGTCACCGTATTTAAATTGCAAGGCTTTTTTAAAAAAAAAATACTGCATTCTGTGTGTTGCAGTGCTTTAATTGAACGAAGTATTCTTTATATTTAGTCAACGGATGCAATGATTTTACTCCATAATATTTAAATTATAGATACTCTGCTTCTTACTGTGTTAGGTTTTATTACAGCTTTAATTACTGCAAATGTCTATTTTTACATATAAAACATATGTGATGCTCATTAAACATTCCTTTTTTATGTCAAATAAACTACTCGCAAGTACAGAAGTTGGATAAAACTACTGGATAGGCCTCAACAATAATAGCTTACTTACATATGACTGCATTAATGCATTTTCAATACTCTGGAGAGTGGCCACTTTTTCTAGTGGGTACTTGAATTCTTTATTTATATATTACTGTACATACTTGTGTTTTTTTTTTTTCAGCTGCACATCATGGGTGAACCACAGCAGGTCAGCGCCCTGCCTCCTCCGCCTATGCAGTACATTAAGGAGTACACAGATGAAAATATCCGCAAGGGTCTGGCTCCCAAGCCGCCTCCACCTATCAGAGACAGTTACATGATGTTTGGCAACCAGTTTCAATGTGATGACCTTATTATCCGTCCTCTGGAGAGCCAAGGCATCGAGAGGCTCCATCCTGTGCAGTTTGACCACAAACGGGAGCTCAAGAAACTCAACATGTCCATTCTTGTGAACTTTCTGGACCTGCTCGACATCCTTATCAAGAGTCCCGGCAGTATTAAGCGCGAAGAGAAGCTGGAGGACATAAAGCTTTTGTTTGTTCATATGCACCATCTGATAAATGAGTACAGACCCCACCAAGCCAGGGAGACACTGAGGGTGATGATGGAGGTGCAGAAGAGACAGCGGCTAGAGACGGCAGAGAGGTTCCAGAAACACCTGGAGAGGGTTGTGGAGATGATCCAGGGATGCCTTGCCTCATTACCCGATGACTTACCTCAGATGGAGGGTTCAGAAGGTGTTAGTGATATCACAAAGAGTGTGTCAGCAGCTGTTGGTGGTTCCTCTGGGCAGGCCCCAAGGCTAAAAACAGAACCCATGGATGTGGAGGAAGCAGGCAGCAGCTGCATGGCCACAGGTCACCAGGACAAAAACATCCTTGCGTCAAAGAGGGACAAAATATGGGACAAGGATGCCGCCATGTGCAGTATTATTGATGAAATAGCCTAGGTTTAATTTTGGGTAGTTGTTTATGTTTTCTATACCTAAATGATTGGGGGGGGTTGTGTTGTACTGAGTGTCACTATGGGTATGTTTGCTGGTTTTACTGGGTCTGAAGTCACACTTGGCATTGAATGGTGCTTTTGTTTTAAGTCATGTAGATATTATTGCCAGTTTCTGTATTCAAAGACTTTAAGTATCACGCTGATCAATTGGGCTACCAACTTCCAGTTTTTACAATAAAACCAATAAAGAAAATTCTTTTGGCAGTATGAGTGAAGTGCTGTCACTGCAACACGAGCAAGTAAACACCAGATCACAAAATTCCATGTAACCACTCGCATTGTTTTACGTTTGCTTAGCATTGAAATCTTGTCACCGTGACGTGCGACTTGTATAACCTCGTAAGAGTGGTTATGGAAAGGTCAGTGTGCAAGAGAGTGTAGTCACGCCTACCTCGCTCAAGCATGTTTACTTCAGGTTTTCATTGAAGTGCTAAACAGTTTAACCAGTCTGTTGTTAGCTTCCAGCCAGTTACTCCTTAACAATGGTTAGAAAGAAAGAAATGCAACCCTTCCACCAGGGTGCCTGTTAAGCCTCTGTACATGCATGTGGTTTGGTTATGGAAACACATCGCTTAGAGGGATTGCAACACAAATCTGAAGTGGAGGGGGGATTTGAATATTGACTGTGACAATCAGTTTAAGTAATGTGTGTAAGTATGCTTGTCACTACAGCGCTCCGATTATATTTTTAAAGCTACTTTTTGAAAAAAATATCTGAATTATTGCACTTTTAATAAGTTAGTATGAATTCAAACTTTGAAGAAATGGTGACAGATGATATAAGGTACCCCATGTTTTTCAATTTAAAAGATAAAAACAATGCTCTCAGAGTCTATTTGACAGTTTTTCTTTGAGTACAACCTTTTCTCAGCTCTGTTGTTGGGTAACAATGCAGATAACAGATTTGTTGCTTAATGCTTAGTTATGCATGTGCTATATAAAGCATGTATTTTCCACGCTGACAGATTTTTGGTGCATTTGTGGCGCTTGGAGGAAAGAAGGCTCCAAGAATGTCAATCAAAGAAGTGCTTTTTATTTGACCAATGGCAGCCTCCAGCCTCATTTGATTGACCCAGAATACTGAGACAGGCTCGAGTCTCTGCAGCACACTGACGTTTTTCAGATGACCAATGCCAGCAGCTGAGGCGTCATTAGGCATTTTGGACCTCCGCAGAGACAAGTAAACATTTTAAACATTACAAAATATGGGCGTGTTTTTGTAGGATGCACACATAACTAGGTTTATGTCATGATCCTTCCACCCCGCCCCCCCCTCAGCTGGTGTTATTATCCTCTGCTGGGATTCCCTGCGCTGTGACAAGGTAACTTCCATATCCCATACCCTTAAAAAAAAACAGCATCACTGCCGCTGCCGGACACATGACACTATCAACTCATCCCCCCGTGTTTTAAATAAACCGAACGATTAAAAAAAAGCAAAGAATTTTAGTCGCAGGAATTATGTTATGAAACTCGGCATCCTTGTGTTTCACAACAGGGCGGAAAGCCACTTTTTCATCCAATCGGATTGCGCGCTGGGGCGTCACGTGATCTTTATTTATGTAATGTAATGGTGTTACACAGTAACCTCGCTTCGTGGCCGTGGATACTTCGCTACAGGGGTTAAAAGCGTACACGGAGTATAACAATCAAAGAATACTAATGTGCAGTTACACTGTTCGTGGCGTTTGTGGAGTTTGGAGCGTGAAGGAAAGCGGCGTGTTGGGACTGGAAGCCGAGTGTCTTTATTTTACCTGTTTCATGAAAGGGAAGATGTCATTTGCCCCAAACCAAAGACTTAAGTTAAGGCTGCAAACGAAATGTCACTGAGCACATTTTACACGAAAAGGAAAAATCTGTGAGGTGAGCATATGTATGCTCGAATTAGCCGAGCTGGACAAAAAAAAGAAAAAAAACCCGGTGCGGTTCGAGCAGATGTGGGACACGTTTACTGTATCGCTTTAGCTGTCAGTATGGTGTTTAAATGGTCCGTGCAATAATACTACACAGAACCGCCTCTCCGCATCGCTTTGACGAACAAAGCCACAATTCTTCCCGTGGGACCTTGTTCTGGTGACATAACCCTGATCGCGATGGATCTGCTGGAGTGTCCGCTCTGTCTCTTCCTGATGTGCGAGCCGGTGACCATGTCCTGCGGCCACACGTTCTGTCGGAGGTGCGTGGGGGGCTTCCTCCCGTCCAAATGCCCGTCGTGCAAAGAGAGGTTAAAACAAAAGGAGGTGAAAAGCATGAAGAACAACGTGCTGCTCATCAGTGTGGCGGAGAAGTGCTGCCCCGAGGAGACAAGGATGAAGTGCCATATTCAGGAGAAACTCAAAGCCAACGACTTCTCCGAAGCTTTACGCATCGCAGATGAGGGGCTGCGCTTAGGTAAGGGACACATGCGAGACATCTGCATAGCTGCACACACCACACAGAAGTTTCTCACATGTGCAGTGTAAGTTCTGTGGTCAAAAAAAAAAGGAGGCCTCAAAACCCACATCTGCCTTATTTCAAATCAAGGAGACGCACTGATGAGTTTTACGCACTGCACACAATTTTGGCTGGTGCCCAGTGATGGTTGCTGATAGTGCAGCCCTCTCTGCAACAAAATGTGCACAGCAGCGCGATGCAGGAGGTGTAGTGACAAAAAGAAAAGAGATGCAACTTGGTGTTTTCAAGCACAGATCTGGAAGTCACAGGGTTCATTATATCTACTGTCTGAGACTGTTCATGACCTGAATGTATATCTGGGTCAGTAAACAATCCCCAGATGCCCCTTCTTCTCTCTGAGGTTTATAAAAAGAGACTTGTTCTTCTTTTTGTACAAGTATTGAAACATTTCAGTTGAACACCAGCTTAAACCAGTGATTTGTGCAGCATAAGAAACACTCAGTTGAGGATGCATCTGTTGGGTTTTTCCCATCTGTCTTAGTCAGTCGCACACAGTATGACAAACAGTAAAAGGAGCAGTGACAGCTGCTGACTGGGAGAATTTAAGGAACAGGCTGCGGGAAGTTGTGTGCTTTAGAGCAGGTTGTCCTTTACATTGTGGGATACATTTTTTTCAATCTCAAAATTGCATTTGCATGTGCAGTTGACCTTATTTTCGTCTTGCAGCCGCGAGGAAGTAAAAGGGACAACTTCTGCCCTAGATGTGTTGGTCGAGTCAGTAGGCGTCGTGGGGATTGTAGGCGTGTTTGCGCTACTGTGAATCAGTGTGCCACTGAATTACCCTCTTGCTTGCCGTCTCTGCCAATCCAAAATATTGCTAATTCCCTTGCTCCGGCATTGTAGGTTATTGTGCTGTGATCTCCAGGTAGTTTTGGGTACTCCAGTTTTTCTTTTGTCATTGAGGTCTGGTGTGATAATTTTCATAAGCTATTTCACAATGTGAGCATTGCCACGCACTGCCATTGTGTTTGTAAAGGCCTAAATATGCTATATAAACATGACTTAACAGCCTTGTGCAACAGTGACACTCTGAGCCTAGACTGCACACATGCCCACGTTGTTACATGAAGCCTGTAAAATTTTTGAAGAAACCATAGCTAGTTTTGTTGAACATCAGTTTTAACAAATAGGGCCGAAACATGTCATTCAAATCTTGTATTTAACCAGTTCTGGAGTAAGAAGCGATGGTGCACATGTTACTTTTATGTCATAGAAAGTGCACGGACTGTTCACTTTGCCAATTGGAACTATTCTGTTTACAAATCAAACCTTGTAGTGTTTTTTTTCAATCCTGATTATGCCTTAACTGGCCCATTTTAACCTTTGTAGCGTTACAGTTTTGTAATATCAGTGACTTTGAAGTAGCAGTCAATGGGGGATCAGTTGGGTTGTGTTTAATCAGGTCAGTGTTAGTGCTAATAGCGATCTATTATATCGGGCTGATGAGTCACAAGTTTTTGGATAGATTCCCTCAGTGTTCCTGGGAAAGCAGAGACACTTGTTATGCAGACTGTTTCATGCCTGTGCACGCTGCATGTTTGTATGCGGCACAGTAAGTAAATAGAGCCTAAGCCTCTTTTAAATGATGTACAGTACGTCAAGCATTTTGTCTCTTTCATCTTTACCTTTACTCTCTCTGCTGTTTTTTTTTTTTTTGCATCTTTAGTCCCAGATGATCAAAGCTTGAAGGTGTACAGAGCTGAAGCAAACTGCGGCCTGATGCGTTTCTCTGATGCTCTGACGGACCTCGACTACCTCTGCTGCCTTCGTCCCGTCTGGACAGAGGTGAGAGACGTTATTTCTCGCTTTTGCTCTACCAGCCACAAACCATATTTAAAGCGTCAGTGCAGTCTTCCTCTGCACAGGTCGGTACGCTGAACTTAGCCCCGCATACTGTGTTGGTTGCTTTTGTAACACGCGTGTAATGGCAGCACACACACACATAACCAAAGAAGGTGCTGCCTCTTTTAATATTTGGCTTTTGCGTGCCTTAGCGTGCCACGCTGACCCATTTAGAGCAACTTTCTGCTTTTATTGGTGTTATGTCATTCACAATGTTATGCAAACAGCTACTTATGTCATAATGTCATTTAATCACTCCGTGCTCGTGGGCGGCTCACTGCTAATGTAGGAGAGCATCAGTGTGTGATCATTTATATCGTTTCATTGTATTTCCAGTGATGGGTTATGTCACAATTTCACATCACATTTCCTCATTTACCAATTTAGCTTGAAGTGACACATGACGCAAATAGCATCTATTATCCAGCGACATAAATCAAATCAACTTATTGATGAGGCTGTGCAAATTTCAAGTTCTCTACAATGAGCGGCTGTGTGGTCGGGTGGTTATACAAGCGGCGACGAGCCTGATCGCGCTGTTCTGTTTTGTGCAGGGCTTCTTTCGGAAAGGGAATGTCCTGCTGGAAATGGGTCAGCAGAAAGAAGCCCTCATCCAGTTCCACCGTTGCCTAAAACTTCAAGCTGACTTTGTTCCTGCGAAGAGCCAGATCAAGAAGGTTGGTTTATCTTTCTGACCGCTCATCAGAAGCAAACTTAATTTGATTTATTATTCATAACACGGAGCGTAAGCGTTTGTGTAAAATGAAAAATTTACAGAAAGATGAGAAGAGATGCAGTTTGCCACATGAAAGTGTTATAAAGTTAAAGCAGCAAAAGAGATTGATTGCTGCAGCTTTTTTTTATGGAGAGCTGCACGGATCACTGACAGACTTTTAAGATGATTTTAAGAGACGGAATATGAAGAATATAATGAATCACATCGTGGATATGTTCAGGGGCTGAACTTACCTTGGATAATTGTTTCCAGTATGTTTTCAATCTGATATCTAATGACTTTTTAAAATTTTTATTTATTTTTTAAATTTGATTTGTGTGCGATTTCACTAGTTTGAATCAGTGTTTTAATAGTTTCTGGTAACTGCGTTAGAAAATTTAGTTAAAATGCAAAAAGTATTTACATCCATATTAACTTTTTATTGTTTTTTACGTTGCTGTACTGATAAAAACGAACGCTGCTTTTTTTGTGACTAATCCGCTGCAGATCCTGGAGGCTGAGGGAGTGGCAGTGCCAGAGGAGGTGCCCTGTATTTTGCAGGTGGTGTCCGAGTACCTGAAAGAGCCCTACCCCATCACCACCCTCAGCGGCTCCCAGGGGCCGACTCACGCCGAGGGCTTCAAACATCCACACGGAGAGAAGGGAGAGGGGAAAGGGAGGAGAGAGGCGCACCAGGTGAGCGTTTCATCAAAATCCGCTTTAAGGCTGGGTTGTGGGTTGGTAGGAGCCTGGATGTGAGTGTAAATCCTAACTGACGAAACCGTACATCTTTCCGATGCCAAGGTGAAGCATGACACAGGGACTGAGTGCTGCCTCAGCCTCTGCCAAGCTGTTTCCTTCCTCCCCACCGCTGAAGAGGACGAAGAGATGATGACGAGGAAGGAAGAGGGGCACGGCAGAGGTAGGGTGACACACTTTTTTTTTTTTTTTCATCTGCCTGTCATCTTCATCATCATTGTCTTCGTCGTGAATCATCTTTGCCATTGTCACTACGAACAGCTTTCCCATAACGCCCACCAGATGGTTTGAAATTGCATAATAATTGCAGCTTCTTCTTCTTCTTCTTCTTCAGAAGGATGAAGTCATCATAAATCCTTCAAGTGACTGTTCTTCGTCTCCTTTCTCTTTCTGTCTTAGGTGAAAGTAATCACCGCCGAGAGAAAACCCTGGGTGTTCTCACTGTGTCAGACTTCGAGTGCCCTCTCTGCATTAGGTTAGTGTCCTGTAATCCATAATGCAGTGCTGTGTTCGGCTTTCCTGCAGCGGAGTCATATATCAGGCTGATTTTGTTCTCGCTCTCCTCTCTCTCTCTCTCTCTCTCTCTCTCGCTGGTTAATGTTTAGCACAAATGCTGTTGATGCACAAGCACTAACGGCTACTGTACAAACAGCACGAATATCCGTTTAACTCATGTCTGTGTCTGACCTCCGAAGGTTGTTTTTTGAGCCAGTCACAACTCCTTGCGGTCACACCTTCTGCAAAAACTGCATCGAGAGGAGTCTTGACCACAATCTCCGCTGCCCACTCTGCAAGCAGCCGCTACAAGAGGTAACCACCTCCAGACGCTCTGAATACGTCTATTTCGAGCCTAATGGAAAGAAAAGGGGACTTGTTTTTATCTCACAAACATCTTTACTTTAAGAGCTGCTTAATAATTCAAGCTTTGTTATTGCCACCACATTGTGGTCTTCAAGCACTAAATTTAGGTCAGGCAGGGTAAAATCACCAGGCCCCCGCTATAGCATCGAGACAGTGCGGTGTGAAGAGTCTTCCTCTGATAACTGATTTCTCATACGCGTCTCATGTGATAACAAACACGCATTATGTTACAGGACAAGAGAACTTATTGGTTCTTCATTTCTATATTTCACTGATGGCATCATGATTAAAAAACACTGCTGTGTGCCCGGCTTTATCTAAATGCAGCGGAGACCAAGTGAAATTAGTTTGCATATTTTAAATCCACAAAAGCTTCGCTGGATTGTGTAAAATTACTTCAGTGCTCCCAAGTGCAACATACTCCTTATAATGGTTGGTTGTTTCTTCGCTGCAACACTGACTTCTTCTGTTGTGGCATCTTTTGAGCACTCATGGTGTTACGTATAACTGCTGATGGACATCATAGTGTTGCTGTTGTAACTGCTTTCTTTTGCTTTGCCTCTTCCCAGTACTTCAGAAACAGGAAGTACAACCCCACAGTTCTGCTTCAGGACATCATGACCCGACTTTTTCCCTCTCAGTTGGCAGAGAGGAAGCAGGTTCATGATGCCGAGATGGCTGAACTGTCCAAGTATGTACCCATCTCACACCATCTGCACTCAGTTATTATAGCAACTTAAATCGTGCTTTATTCTCACAATCCTCTCCCTTCTTTCCTCCATCTTTGTCTGCATCTATTTTTTCTCTTTCTCCTGTTATGTCTCTCCCAGTCTTACTAAGGACATACCTATATTTGTCTGCACGGTGGCGTACCCCGGAGTCCCCTGCCCGCTGCACATCTTTGAGCCTCGGTATCGACTGATGATGCGACGCTGCATGGAGACGGGCACCAAGAAGTTTGGCATGTGCAGCTATGAGCATGGCAAAGGGTAAAAAAAAAAAACACACTCAGTAATACGTCAAAGCATCAGATCAAAAGCTATTTTTAAATCGTGTGTTAGGGAAAAAAATCTTCCATTCATCCATCTGCTATAACCAGCTTTATCCTGTAGAGGGTAACAAAGGGCTGAAGCCTGTCCCAGCTGGCAATGAGCTAAAGGCCGACGCACCCTGGACAAGGTGCCAGTCCATCACAGAGCCAATACAAAGAGACAGACAACATGCACACATACACACAAATGACCAATTTAGAGTCACCAGTACTGTGAGGAAGCTGGTGCACCTGGAGAAAATACAAGCTGGCACAGAGAGAACATGCAAACTCTGCACAAAAAGGCCCCAAATGACCGACAAGTTTGAACCCACAACCTTGTTCCTGTGAGGCAACAGCGATAACCGCCGTCCCACAATGCCTCCTGGGCAGAAAGCAATGACGCATTACTATAGCTGGGCTAAAGGCCCCTTTGCTTTGAAATAGATGTTTGCAGTTTTGTGTCTGGGTGTGGAGGGACCACGTCGAGCAGTTCTGTAGCTGTGAAGCTCACAGCAGGCGAGGTGGAGCCTGGTGGGTTTGTCAGCAGCGCAGCACAGTGTGCAAAGTTTAAATCAGTCATATGTGACCCTGAGGGGGTGGAAAATAACAACATGGTCACCAATCTGCCATGAGAGCTGCAGTGCATTTTCACCTCCTTCTGAATATCTTGTTACTAGTTACACAATGTCGCCATGCTATTCATGTCCCCAGCAAGATTATAATGGTGAAGTCAAAATGAAAAATTATATTTAAACGTGTAAACTGAGTAACTGATAGGTGAGTGACAAAACAGTTGGGAGGGATGTAGATAACACAGCTTTCCTAGGATGACGCTTCCAAAAAGTGTAAATAAAAAATAGTGTTTTGACAGGCTGAAAAAGAGAGAGTAGCCCCACATAACTCACAATGTTTAGTGAAGTTGGATTTTGATGATCTGACTGAGTTTTTAAAATGTTCTACAAAGTGTAAAATTCTCTTTCTGTGCCACATGTATGATTATACATTTGTAAGATTATAGATGTAAACACTCAATCTCTGTTCTTGTGCTTTCAAACTGAGGATTTCTTATTAGTTTGAATACTTTACTGACTGTAACAACCTTTTTTGCATGATGATAAATGTAAAACATTTTCCTTGTTGAGTGTTATATCATCCATCCATCCATTATCTATACACCGCTTAATCCTCACTCGGGTCGTGGGGGGCTGGAGTCTATCCCAGCTGACTCAGGGCGAAGGCAGGAGACACCTGGACAGGTCACCAGTCTATCACAGGGCTACACTTAGAGACAGACACCAAGCACACTCACATTCACACCTACAGACAATTTAGAATCACCAACTAACCTCAACATGTTTTTGGACTGTGGGAGGAAGCTGGAGAACCTGGAGAGAACCCACGCTGCACGGAGAGAACATGCAAACTCCACGCAGAAAGATTCCGGTGCCCCCACCGGGACGCGAACCGGCGACCTTCTTGCTGCGAGGCAACAGTGCTGTGTTATATTATGCAAAGATTTATTTTACGGGATACAACCTACAGATTGTTTTGTCTGCTGTGCTTCAGGTTTGCAGACTATGGCTGTATGTTGGAGATCCTCGGTCTGGAGCTGCTGCCGGATGGACGGTCTTATGTGGAAACAGTTGGCGGCAGCAGATTCAGGGTGCTAAAGAGGGGTCAGAGGGACGGCTACCACACCGCTGATATCGAGTACCTGGAGGACCTTAAGGTCAGGGTCTTAAAGATGGCAAACTATAGCAATACTTCAAAAAGACGCGCAATGAAAATAATACGATTTTAATGTATTATTTATTCTAATGTCTGTGCATCCTCTTTTGCAGGTTGATGGTAGCGAGCTGGAGCTTTTACAGCGTCTCCATGACAGCGTGTACCAGCAGGCCCAGGATTGGTATCAGCGCCTCGGCAGCCGCATTCGCGAGCAGATCAACAGACAATACGGCACGATGCCAGATAAGGATGAAAACATTCAGGTTTGGGCCTTAACACGACTATGACAGTAGTTGCAACCTGCCATTTTCCTTTCTGTGTCATAAAACACTGAGTTCTTAAATGTTTTTTGGAGTTTCTTATTGGCCGCAGCAATGTAGACAATTAGGTTAATTCTTATTGTTTTTGGTTGCATTAATGCGAGGTTTTAGTCGTAGTAATCACAGTACCCAGGGCGTCCATACTTATTAAACACATGCTGTGGCTAATATCTAATGTTTTAATCCATTTACTGCAAATGCATGAACATTACAGATTTTTAAATTCGGTTTTTCTCATTAAAAAGGGATCTATCAGAGATTTCACTCTTGATTTTCAATCACAAAGAAGGTTATGTCTGCTGTTTTTCCCCACAAAGTTTGGTTTCGTATTTCTTTTAATGGTAATGATGCAGTACAGACTTCTCCAGTCATGCTACACTTTGACTACAATAAAAACCAACATTCATAGGGACAGAATACCTGCAAGCTGCCGAAATGAAGTCATTAAAAACGTCAGAAATTTCAAATGTTACAGTACACTTGAAAAACAAACGAGTAAGAGTAACGTCACATGATTCATACCAGATGGGCCAATGGGCTGGTGTTTAATGCATTGGTGTGCTGTCATGTGCTCCTGTTCTAACTTTATTAACGTTCCTCTAGGCTTCGTCCAACGGTCCAGCGTGGTGCTGGTGGCTGCTGTCTGTCCTCCAGCTGGACCCCGCTTATCAAACCACTGTCCTGTCCCTGACCTCACTCAAAGACCGGCTGGGACACCTTCGCCTCGTCCTCGAGTACTTCTCTCAAAGCTAGAACCCTACAGCACAGTGGTTTCGTGGCCACACCTAGCCAAGAGTCGAATACTACGCACACATACACGAATGGGCGTGAAACCAGTGAATGCACTCACTACACTGAGTTCCAGCTTGGGTTTGGGAACTACTCTGAAATCATGGAGGGACTGTTTTAAAGTCCTAGCTCAAGGCCAAATCAACCTGGTCAGTAGCAGACGGCTAGTGATTTTACTACAGAACACAATGCATTTGTACAGTTTGCTGTTTGCGTATGTTATCTTTCTTACACCAGAACAGTTTTGTGAATACACGTTGTACTTGCTGTACCAGTAAGAACTGCAGGGTTGACCAAAGATGCTTCTTGTTTCGGGTCATCTTAATTATTATTTGTGGATGAACTAAATCAGTGAATTTCAGATAATATTGCTGAAAATGGACACTGGGTGTCACTGTTTGTTGTTTTTTTCCCCCCCAGCTAAGCTAGTACAGCCGACCTTTCTGTCATGTGTTGCCTGTTCAAATTGGACCCTTTGCATTATCATAGTTCAGTTCTGAGTGAGAAAACACTTTAACAGCACATCATTTGTAGAGATTTTGCAGGACTATGTGCCTCAGAGGGTTGAATGCGTTGCAGGTAATCACGTTTGGGTATTCTGATTGTCCTTCTTTTGCTACAGAGCACTACTTGCGATGCTTGCATTTTAGTTGCAGGTATTTGCTTCGGGGCAGCCGCAGAAAACGGCTCGTTTCATACTATTGAATAATCTTCAAAGGATCTCTTTTTAGTATTAGCGAATACTGCAATAATAATTTATAGTCTCACATGGCAGCGATTCTTTTTAATGTGTGAAAGCTGCTGTCTCTGGATGCCGCTCGTTCTTGTCCAGTGGAAAAAATGACGTCTGTGAAATTAGGAGAGGACGGGCTCGGTCAGTGGGAGGTTTGTTTTACAGTATGAACCTGTGATTTTTTTGTATGTTGATGGTAAAGTAGGAATACAGCACTGTATGTATGTTTGTGTGTCGGCTGTAAATAAGTAATTTTCGTCCATCATTTCATTTTCATTAGCTGTTTTTTGTTTTTAAATTAGATATGACGTGTTTGTTTTGAGCACTGATGACAGCTACTGTAATGTGCGCTCCCTTTGAGATCCATGACGCCGTGTTAACATCTCTTGTCCAGGGGAAGCTGTAACATGCAGTCATTTGGCTAGAACACCTTGGTTGCGGTCTGACTAGGACTGAGTCCCCTCCCCCCTTGTGGGGCTTCTGCGTAGGCCGTGACACCTACCTCTGGCCCCCTACTCCGTCTCTATGTCTGTCCGGCCCTCCCACCACCACCACCACCACCACCAGCCATGGTGCCTTTGAGTGCCTGGGCCAACTCATCAGAAGACCTGCAAGTCTTAGAGTTTCTACAAGACAGATGTGAGGGACTGTGTGATTTTTATGGATATAGTGCTACATTCCATGGAATGTTGAAGCTGCAAAGTTATGTATAGTTAATTTACTAACAAATACGGGCTTGACTGGGTTTTATTTGTGTGTGTGTGTTTTTTTTTTTTTACTTTGATAAATGTGCCATAGGTATTTCTATGCGAAAAAAAGCTTTATAGAATAGTTAGCTACGTCGTCACTGTGTTAATGTCTGTCTCCATCATGGACCTTCATGCCTTTCGTATGGTGGTTGTTGAACTGACATTTTTTTCACGGCCAGCATATCACTAAACAGCAAGAATTAGTCCACTTTTTAGATGCAGTTTGTACGATAGAGAGAAAGTTCCAGGCTCGTGTGGCGATGTAGATATAGCTTCGAGTGAAAGGGGTAATTATGAGACTAAATGCAAACAAATGGAGAGACTGATGGATACTGAGGAGGCATTGGTTACTTGATTAACAGGCTCTGTCTACTTGAGGGGGGTAAAATGCAGGTTTTTTCTTCACTTTTTGAAGCCATCCAGGAATGAAGTTCCAATATAACATTAAAATGTGCCAGTTATTACAGCATGTCTCCAAAGCTAGCAGTATTTATTTCACTGAATGATGAAATGCAATCTGAAGGTCAGTCTCCTGCTGCCAGAGATGATTAAAGCTAATTTAAATCGAAAAGGGATTGACATTCTTACAGAGTTTTCAACACATTGAACGCACGACAGCAATACATGACTACAACAGGCCCCCGTCCACTGACTTTCACTTTCAAGAACAATACTTCAGTGCAGTGAAATTTGTTTTCGAAAGTTCGGCTTTAATCCTTTACACGTTTTCCCTCTTTTTGCAAGTCGTGCATATTTCTGTTTGTCAGTTTTATTGCCACTTTTCTCCGAATAAAACGCCGATGTATGCTGATCACAGCCATCAGTCTCATTTTAGTTTACTCCGGTGAATACAGAACGCAATTTCCCTTTGAAATAAAAACAGCCCTTTTTTTTTTTTTTCATTTTAAGATTTAATTCGCCTATAATCACTGAAAAGGTTCAACTTGTGTGCCACTCGTACATTGCAGTGCAGTCGAGCTTCATTTCAGCTCGTTTAGGCTGCAGCTTTTTGCATCTTTTATACCCTGGCAGACGTCCATTAACTTTAGCTGCGGTGTTATTGGACTCTTGGAAAATGCCCTCCAACACAGTTATGAACATTGTCTCCAGACACAGAACACAAAGTATAATAAGTGACCCAGTCTTGACAGCAGTTTCCCATGAGAACAACACTCGCGTACTTGGTAAAGGGTGTGAAAAGCACCATGGTCACGTGTCCCTGCTATGTGCTGCTGCTTTGCAAGAAGTGTTGGTCGCTGTGGTCTGACGGTCGGTGGTCTGTTTGAACTAACGACATGTCTCTTTTTCTCTGCGCATAGTTTAAAACCCTCTCTGTCAGCAACAGGTGTATTTGAAACCACTGAAAGTGAAGCAGTTTCAGTTTGAATAATCTGCATTTGTTCCTCCTTCTCTGAGCCACGAGTAGTAAAAAAAAAAGATCTTAATCTGAATATTATTTTTTGTTTTTTTTTCTTGCTTGCCCCATGGATGACTTTTTAAATGTTATTACAAGTAAAGATTTTCAAAGCTAATTCTACATTATCGTCGTTTAATTTGTGTGTTTTGTGTGATTTGAGTCTTGCTGCCAATTTTTGTTGGTTATTAAGGTGGTATTACACGCCAAATGGAAGCGGCACGACTTATTGCAGCTCACAGCGTGACAGAAGCTGAGCACGGAACAAAAATAGAAACGCAGCATGCAAATGGTCTTGTTTTCTGACAGAGAAAACAGTTAAAAATATATAACAATGTGGATATATAAAGGGATAAAAAGTCTCAGTCAGAATAGGACAAAATAATTCTCGTACAAGAAAATAAGATAGAGTTGAAGTTCATTTCTGCATGTTGGAGACTCCTAATAAAAAAATAAAAAAATAACAGCTATTTATGGTAAATATAAAATAATACTGAAACACTCCTCTGGAACTTGCACTAACTCATATTTGCAGGAGGAGAAAAGCTATGACACTGATCACTGTATGAAGCTGCAGCAAACACATGTGCATGCAGTTGCTAAAAAGCAACATCAACAGTCATTTGGAGTTCCCAACTCCAAATGACTCAGTCTGTTTTCCACCTCAACCAGTTCCACAATGACATATCTGTCTCTCCACCACATGCATTAGCTAGTTGCTATTTTTTCTATCTTCTGTTTAGCACTTGGTGCACAGTGGGTTGATTTACGGTAAAAAATAGCAGCTTGAGTAGGTGAACGTGAACCAAAATGACCGTTTCTGACGTCCTGAAACCTGCAAATGAGTAGAACTTGGTATTTGGGGCAAAGTTAGACTAAATTTTGCTGCATGAGTCTTCTAAAAGTACCATTTGCTTCAAATATTAGTCATCCTGAACGCTGGTCTAGAAGATTCAATTGTTTGCACAATGCAGCAAATACTATTTGAGTTGATATTTAACCTCACGTCCTTTTTAGGGTCCCTATTGAAGACCCTATTGGAACTGCTCGGATTATTATTATTATTCGTGCCAAAGAGACGCGTTTTTGAGGCCCTAAACGTACTCGAAAACTCACCAAAATTGCCATGTACATCAGACCCAGTGAAAAATTTTATAATTTGGAAGAACAATACACACCTCAATAGAAAAATTGCTCCACAGCGCCACCTTCAAAATTTCAACAGAGTCTTGTCAAAAGCACATTTGGTTTACACAATTTTGTAGGCATATAGAGCAGGTCAGGATGAATAAAAAAGTCAGGCTGGGCCAAGTTGTAAAATGCAACACGGCTCAACGGCGCCCCCTATATTATTTCAACAGATTCCCATTGGGGCTATGTTTGATTTACAACTACTA